CCCAGCCTGGCAAACTGGCAGTGTTAAAAGTGCACAAATTTAGCTATTGGCAGTTCCTCTTTGCAGTACCATATCCCTGTAAGTCCTTTGTATCAGCCATTTTAATTTTACTGCTCTGCTTAAACCATTACAAAGTGAAACAATTAAAAAGTAAATGAAAACCAATCTGTAATCTGGTTTGTACCAAATGTCTATGTCATGTTCTGCAAATCTTTTATTTCACTGTCTGTATCTCCATCTTTAGACAAAGCTGCAGGTTTCAAACAGGATCAAGGTTGAACTAATTTGGTTCCCTGCTACTGTACAAGATGTTAATAGAGCATAGTTTGACATTTCTAAATTGAATGTGCAGACACCTCTGATTTTCTTTACAGGGGAACTCAGTCTGTGTCAGTGTGTTCACACACATCAACAGAAGTCCCTTTCTTATATGCAAAAAGGATTAAGATGCACATGATGTACTGGACCATGATAAAAGCATGCTAATGCTACACCTAAAACAAATCAAAACAAGGGCAAATATTCTTAAAAAGGCAGAGGAGAACAGATGGATACAGCCAGCACATCACTGTGAGCAGCCACATCAGACAGTAGTTCAGACTCGCAGATGGGGGATGACTCAGACAAATCATCCAAAAAAAAAAGATTCATTAGAGCTTATACCACTTATATTTAGAATATCACTGTAGGAAACACCCATCAAGGGAAGAAAACAATGCCGGGACAATGAATTATAGGACTTTCTCAGTAATTTGTGACACCAAGTCTGATGAGTAACAAAGCCAAGGTCAATGAAGTTTACCTCGTTCCTCTCCGCAGAGCCAGCTGATGGTGCGTCTTCGCCTGGAGCTGAGGCAGGCCGCGTGCTCTGAGCTCCACCTGAACTCATCATCGTATCCACTGGTGTGTCTGTCCTCGACCTTCAAGGAGAAACCCACCAACATTTTATCAGGGACATCTCATAAAGCATTAAACCAAAGAGTCAAAACACTCACGTTTCAGGGGACTCCTCAAAGATGCTGTGGCAGTCGGAGCTCTCCATCAGGAGACTCCTGTTCAGGCTCTGCCCTCCTGTTCCAGGATAGTGGAAGTTGGCAAATGAATGGGACATGGGAGAGACCCCTTTACCAGGTGCTATCTCCCCACCACTCGCTCTCTTATCCTGGCCGGACAGTCCGTAGGACAATCCATCCAACGCTGGGTTCAAGGAGCGTGACATGTAGGTGTCTGCGGACTGGGGGCGGCGCAGAGGGGAGGAGGGATATGGAGACAGTTTGCTGATAAGTGGGGTAAGGAGGTCAGCATAGCCAGTCTTAGCGGGCTTGACCAAGCGGTCCACATGGATGTTGAGTTGCTTCTGTTCAAAGGCGCAGGAGAAGACGCTGTGGGAGAGGTTCTGCATCCAGGAGAGCAGAGACAGGTCTAAGTCATCACAGCCATTACCACACAGCATGTCAACACCCAGGAGGACCTCACTCTCTGTGATCTCTTCACCTGTCGCCTTGCTCTGCACACAAACAATAACCCAGACTTAACCACTGACACGCTGCTTCAGAGATACAGAACTACCTTTAGTGTGCAGTCCACAGTGTGTATGTGTAGCTTTGGCAGTCCCAACCTGACAGAACTCCACACAGCACTCATAGAGGACTCCCTTGAGGAGAAGCTGGAAGAGTCGCTCCCTGCTGGCTTTGAATCCCGCCTCACTCAGCTTCCTGTCTGCAGGAATGAACTCCGCCACCATGGTGCAGACCTCCTCGAAACACTGTACTCTGGCAGTGCTCGGGTTCCAGTCCTGAGGGACACCAGCAGAGGAATGAGACTAGATCAAGATACACACCAAACACATGAAAGCACCCTTATCGACCAAAAATGTTACTGCTACACCAAAGCATGTGAGTGGAGCGGAGCACGAGTGAGCAAGGAGTGCGAGCAGGCGGATTTTGGACACAGTGCAGAGCAGCTTTCTTAAAAGGGAGGTAGCATCCCCAAAATATTATTTCCCTTGAAATGTACTATAACTAAATTCTTGCCTTGAACTCGGCATGGTTTGTGAGGCGAGGCAGGGTGAGGAGCAGACACAGTTTGCTGTAGTCATCTTTCGAGGGACAAAACTCCTCCAGGGCATGGAGACACTTGACTGCTTCCTGCATGGTGAACTCCAACTGAAAAACATGCAATATATTTCACCGCCCGTCTCAGAAAACTGGGTAGACATTGCATTCCAAGCAGCATGAATGAAAAAACTTGGTACGCTCTGAGAGAGCTTTATCTCTGGCAGGATAACATGAACGTGCTGAAGAACTGGACAACTTTTTGTACTTATTGCTATATATTTTATTTTTTTGTCCTGCACCATCCTGAAAAATCATTACAACACATAATGAAGCCACTGCCACAACAACCGCTACAAACCCCTGGGCACTCAGTAGGCAGCGTGCATGCACACCAATGCACAGCGTCCCACAGCTGTCTAAAGAAGTTTGATCTAGCCCAGCTAATGGGACATGCAAGCTCTGTCACAGTGCCACAGGCTGCATCCACAGCTACACCATCTGACAGCAGTGCCACAGCTGTAGCCTAATCTGAGAGCACGAACAGAGAAGGAAGAATGGGTTTTGAATACACTGGTCTACTATTTAAAAAAAGTTGTATTAACTGTGCTGATTTTTAAGCACTTTGAGGTGCTGAAGTCAAATATAACCTTTAACAGAACTGACTGGCTTTAGCTTTTAAGATATTTAGCCATTGACCTTTTACGCTAATGTGCAAAAAACTGACTTGACAAGTAAAGATAATGGCACCTTTTGACTTCAGGAGACACTGCAAGATGTATACAACAAAGAGCTTGAGCTAAGAACATAATAAGCTTGTACTACCTGCGCCAACACACAGGCAACTGGGCTCCTCCTTTTATAAACAGATGGATTATGGTGTTTATTCAGATAACTTGCAGATACGTCATTTCAGTCTGAATGTATTAAATAAACACTGTTTGCTTTTCTTCTTGTCTTTGAGATCGAATCTTTTTGTTTACTGCCGTGACAAACCAGTGACAAGTAGACGAAGCAGTGACAAGTAGACAAAGCAGTGACAAGTAGGCGAAGCAGCACTGTTAAGACTGTTCAAAATTTAACAGTCAACTTAGCCACTTTAGTGTTTTTACTTACATGCTGTGGCTCATCTTCTGCAGACATGGCGTTATTCACACACAGAGCCTCCAGAAACTTCTGCTTGAGGATGATGTAACGAAATCTGAGAGCACGAAAGTTGACATCATGACACATAAAGAGGTGGTTTAAGTGTTGATGCTGTTTATGTCTAACTGTGCTAACTGCAGGGTGCCTGAGCATCAACCTCTAGGAGTCAATAACTGCAAGTCCAAAAATGAATAAACTGAAAATATAAAAAGGTACAAAAAAAAAAGACACAGGAACTTGAACATACTGATGGTGACACACCTTTTTCTGTCAAACTTGTCCATGCACTCCAAAGGCTGAATGAACTGCAAGACCTCATCCCACTGTCCATCAAGGACCAGTTGCCTGAAACAAACATTTTTTATAATTTCATTTCGTTATAATATTAACATTTTTAATAAAAAAGGAAACATTTGCTGTGGTATTTTCTTAGTAAGGTGCACCACTGCCTTCACACTAGGTGGTAAAATACCATTTAATACTCAGGCTGAATAGAATTGCAGACGACACAATGCTAGCTGGCTTTCTGCTGCCCATTGTTCCCGACTGACGGTACAGTTTTTTGGAGCTGCAACCTGAGATGATTGGATCCACGCTAGAGGGTGTGATGTTTGCTGTTGAGTTCATCTACCTGAGGAAAAGCATGTCATCTGAGTAGAGCCCATTGATGACGCCGCTCTCCTTTTCCAAAGCCAGCATGCTGATGTGCAGTTTCCTGGAGTTTAGAAAGTCAAGGATCACTTTGATGATCTCCACCTCCTTCACATTTATGGTTTCTTCCGCCGTCATGGTGAAGATGAGCTGCCACCAAAGCAAAATACACACATACACACTCAAAACCAATCAGAATCAATTGGAACAATTCTTCTGTTATTTCATGCTACAGACGCAACAAACCAGCCTTAAACTGCAGTCCAGAAAGCGTTTAAGACCTCACACACCTACAAACTGTAAAAACTTTAGAGAGTCAGCATTCCAGTGTGGACGCTGATTTTGACCCTGAAAAAAACTTTTTTAAGAACTCTGAAAATAACTGCAAGTATTACACGGATGAGCAGTTTAACAGCAATGTTAAGACTGAAAACAAATTATCATTCATTCACTTTAATAGCAGAAGTTTATACGCAAACTTTCAGAGTATAAAACATTATCTTAGTAGTCTTACACATTCTTTTAATATAATTGCTATTTCTGAAACTTGGATGAATAATGTAAGGGGAATGGATTTTGACCTTGATGGCTATGACTTGGTATGCACAAACAGAGAGAATAAAATGGGAGGTGGTGTGGCCTTGTACATAGATAAAAACTTTTGTTATATGAAAGTGGAGAAAATGTCAATGTTGGTGTATAATTTGCTGGAGTGTGTCACTGTAGAAATACTCGTGGAAAAAAAGAAAAATGTTGTAATAAGCTGTATTTATAGAGCACCTGGAGCCAGCATAGAAAAATTTAATGACTGGATGGAAGAAAATTACTTGACAATAAGTCATAAATTAATGTTCATATGTGGTGACTTCAATATAGATTTGTTAAATCCTAACAAGCACACAGGAACTGAAGAGTTTATTAACACAATATATAGATGCAGTTTATACCCAAAAATTACAAAACCAAGCAGAGTAACAACCCAGCATGCAACACTAATAGATAATATACTTACCAATGTTATTGACAGCAAAATGACAAGTGGATTA